AACAAAGGATTTTACCCATGTTTCTGTCAAATTAATAAAATTAATATCGTTTCGTTTCTGAACTGCGCATAAATCTATAATAAGAAGAAATCTAATAGAAATAATATGATTGCATGCTTTATTTCTATTCTACAGTTCTCCGACAGTTATCTTTAAGTAATATGTATGTATAAATATTTCTCAAGTCGCGAAATAAAACTAATTTATCCTTTGTTAGAAAACATAGACAATACAAAAGAAATTAAACAATTACATATAGTTGAGAAGAAACAAGCTAATCTAATCCAATTTCTTACGTTATTTGTTTTATGCTCAGATCAGACACAGTGTGCTTGTGTGATGTCGGAAACTGACTAAACTTGGTACTAGCCTTCTATTCTATTTGTGTGTCGGCGAAGAAGGGAGTCATCCGTACTCAGATACGGGTGTCTGATCTGTAGGTTGAATTACTCCAGCACATCGTTGATAGTTTAATAGAACGATCAATCAATTGTATGGTTGTTAAACAGTACCATTAAAAAAATACATATTTTAAAATTTTTTTATAAGTTGTACTGTTAAAAATGAAGTTTGTGCCCTGATACATCATTACTTTGCATATCCATACCCGAATCGTGACTGGGAATAGTCTAAATAAGATATAAAAAATACGTTAAAACAACTGAAAGAAAAAAAAAAAAAACAAATTTTTAGGTCAATATACAATTGATCAAATTCGAGCACAACCTGATGGCACACCATCAAAAATAAAAGTAAAAGTTCGTCTTAATCGTCATGGAATATTTGAGATTACGCAAGCATCAATTGTGGATAAAAATGAAGAATTACCAGGTAAGAATTTCCTAACAAAAACAAAATCTTAATTAGAAAAAAAAAAAAACATTTTCACATAGAAGAACCTATGGATACAAAAGGAGGAATAGATAAAACTACTGTACAAAATGTTCCAACAACAAATGAACCATCAACTGAAGTATGTTTTATTCAATTTTTGTTTTTTTTTACTTTTATTTTATTTTTTTCAAGAATAAAACACCTACTGGTGATAATAATCAACAAGATAGAAATGATGATAATGATGACGATGATGATGAACCAAAAAAATCTACAACAAAATCAAAACGAAAAGGTATTGATTTACCAATAATAGCTCGTCAATCAGGTATAACAAAATTAGAAGTTGATCAATTAATTGAACATGAAGTAAGATGAAGAAGAAAATACTTATTATTAATTTGTTTTATATTGTTTTTATAGCGTGAAATGATATCAAATGATAAAAGAGAAAAAGAACGTTCTGATGCAAAAAATGCTGTTGAAGAATATGTTTATGATATGCGTAATAAATTAGATGGTGGTTCATATGAAAAATATTCTGATGATAGAAATCGACAAAAATTATTAAATGATTTACGAACAACTGAAAATTGGTTATATGATCAAGGAATGCATCAAGATAAACATGCTTATGTAGAAAGATTAAATATTTTAAAAGTATAAAAACAAAAAAAAATATATATTTTTTTTTTTTTGTAAGAATTTCATAATGTTTTTTTTTTGTTTGTTTTTATTAAATTAGAATCTTGGTGATCCAATACGTAATCGTTATAATGAAGCTGAAAATCGTCAATATTATATGCAAGATTTTCTTAAATCATTTAAACAAATTGAAGATGCTATTAAAATTTGGCAAACAAAATCTAATGATAAATATTCACATATTGATAAAAATGATATTGATAAAATCTATAGAATTTTAACTGAAAAACGTAAATGGTATGAACAAACAGCAAATCGTTTTAATACACTTAGACAACATGAAGATCCAGCTGTACTTTGCACACAAATCAAACAAGAACGAGATGTAAGTTATTATATTTCATAATTTCGAATTTTTGTTATTCTTGATTTTCATTTATTTTTTTTTTCAATAATCAAAATTATTTGTATTAAATTTTTATAAAACACAATCTAAAAAGAATTTTGAAGAGTATATAGGGCAAAAATTTTTACAGGCGCTAAGCTATTGAGTTCAAAATTTTCGAATTCATGCTTGGAAGGAATCTATTAGTCAGATACTTTCATGAGCCGTGATAGAAGTTATTGAATTTCTAAAGGATTAAGTTTTTGCAAGAATTGCACTATTTAGCTTTTTTCTTTTTATGTGACGCTAATCGTGATCACAAATCTGTTTATATTTTCAGATTTCATCTTAATTCTAATGGAATTTTTTGAAATTAATTACAATTTCGTATTTGATTTTTCTACATTCTTAATTTGATTTTAATTCTTTTTCCTAGTCCGATTTACAAAAATATTCTCTCCTTTAGCTTTAATCTCATTTATTATGCAAACTAATTTTATACATCTTAATTTTTTTCGTAATTAGACTTGTAAAATAAAATCTTTATGTTTTTTTTTTTTATAGGCACTTGAAAGAGAATGCTGGAGTATATTGAATAAACCAAAACCAAAAGTTGAACTACCGAAGGATACATCAACTGATACTTCGAGAAGACAAGCTCCATCATCTGATGGTAAACAACAACAACAAAATCAATCTCCACAACCTCCTTCATCATCCTCGGGTAAAAAACCATCATCATTGAGGAGACCAAATCCACAATCGAATACGCAACAACCTTCCATGGAAACTGATTAATTTGAAATTTTTATTATTAGAAAAAGACTATTTCAATGTGTTGTTTGTTTGAAGGGTGCTTTTATGCTTATTTTATTACTGTTGCGAGATCTTATTTGTTACGGAGTTATTAAAAATACGTTATCACTATTTATTGTCCCATTTATTCGATTTTATTCAATGTTGATTATTTTTGTTTTTTTGCTTTTGTTTTGTTTTCGTCTGTTGCACGTTCTTCAGCGAATCCGGTTCATATTCAGATCTTAAATTTGAATTTCTTCGTCTTTTTTTTTTTTTTTTTTTTTTTTTTTTTCTCAATCGAGAAACAAATAATATACTTGATAAGATAATAATGAACACAAAAGAAAACTTTTTAGTCATGAAAAACAAAAATAAAAGTTCCGTACTTTTTAGTTAAGCATTTTTTTTTTCGAATAGTTACTTGTTTTTTTTTACACATGTATATGTTAATCGAGATACTTATATTATTTATTTTATTTTTTGTTCTTTTAATCTTTATTCATTTTAATATACAAACGAGCGAAACAAAAAAAATCACTAATTAATTATAGTGAAATAAATATTTTCAACATACAACAATACAGACAATTCTTGGTTATACAAAATTATAAAAAGAAAAACAATAACTTAGAAATTAATCGATATATTGTTACTATTCAATTAATATTGACAATAGAATAATTGTTACAATTATACATTTATGACGAAAGAAAAACAAATTAGCATTTTGATATTTTTTCATTCGAACATTATAATGAGAAGCGTGTCTAATACAAACAAGCTGTTGAAGACTAAAAGTATAATATATCATGATTATAATTGAACAATGAGTCAAAAAAGAAAAATAATGTTTCCTATATGGCAACAGAAATTTCCTTTCTCAAAAAAAAACGAGATTTGATCTTTCATCAACGACATGTATTTTTATTTATTTGATACCTTTTGGTTTGAAATAAATCGCTCTTTTCAGAAATGTTCTTCCCTATTTATGCTGTTAAACGTGTAAATTTCAATTTTGTTTATTACGATATAAAAAAAAGCATATTTTATAAATAGACGACGATTTTTTTGACTTATTGAATTTTTTTTCTCAATGAAAAGTAAGAATCTTAAAAAGAAAAGGGCACTATAGTTTGACATATTCTTTTAAATAAAAGAAAAATTCAATCTATGGATCAAAGAATTTCCGAGTGGTCAAATGAATTGTATTCGACTATCGTTTGTTGCATATCTTTTGAAAATAACATTATACAGAATTGAAAATTTTGTTCAATTTGAATGCATCTGATCCAAGATCAATTTTTCAGGATACGAGAGAGAGAGCAATCAATTACAGCATCCTATAAAAAAAGGTCCTAGAATATTAAAATATTTTCAACAACGAGTAATGATTTTAATTGAATGATGAACAAACAAAAAAAACATATCGCTATAAACTAGTATATCAGTCATCAGACCCCGCGCGAGCGGGGGGTTTAGGGGGTGTATACCCCTCCAAAAATAATAAATTTTCAGTTTTCTCCGGCCACAAGAGCAGATTTTGTTCACATTTTATGATTTTTCTGAAACTATTCTCTTACACCCCCCTAATATTTGATCCTTCGCGCGGGCCTTGCCAGTCATATATCTTTAATAAAGTATCATGTCAAGAAAAAATAAATATCACCTTTAATTTCAATCATTTATCTATTCTTTGATCATCAATAAGCGCATTACTGGTTTTTTTTTTCAAGTATATCTTTATGCATTAGCTATTTAACTTCTATTAATCTCAATCATTACAAGTGAATATTCTCTTTAACAAATACTTGTTAATTATCATCGAATGCTCTAAATAATCGTGAGAAAAAAATCTATATTGACACATATTTGTTAGAATTCTCATGAAAACTTTTCAAGAAAAACAAAAAAACAACAATTTATTTATTCATTTTGCATAATGGATCGAGCTGTTACATTTTTTTTTTCTTATTTTCCTTGGGCGTCAATCGCTAGTATGTCCATATATATATATTTTTTTTTCTCGTTGACCGATCATGAAGTTCAACATCGTTTTTTTTTTTTCTCCTTTTCTATTCTATAACAAACATGATGTGAAAACGAAAAAGCGAAGAGAAACAAAAAAAAAACAGACAGTAGCATATATCCATCTATAATTTGAATAGAAACGGTCGAAAGTAGTGGTATAGACACACATACAATCATTTACTTCTATAGAAAAGACGAATTGACATGGTAAGTGATAATGAATGAATATCTATTCATTAGTAACGATTAAAATTAATCAATATAAATTCAAATTGAATATCTTTTATATTTTTTAGAATTTCATTTATCAATGAATCGTTCACCTTTAAGCGATTTTAATCGTCGACGTAGTTTATTTGATTCACCAAATTTTATACGTTTTATTAATAAAACTTTACATAATCAAGAAAAAATTGATCCTAATATAAATTCTCAAAATTATTCTTCATATAATAATTCTATTGAAAAACATCGTATAGCTAGAACAAGAAAATTAACAAATATGAATGAACAATCACCTTTACAATTAAATCGAGGTAAAACAAAAAAACAAAATAATTTAAAAAAAAGAAAATTTTCGTTTTCTTTAGGTATTATTCAATTAAGTCTTATTACTTCAGATAATCATTTAACTGTAAAAAGTAATATTTTAATTTTTTTAAAATAAATTTCTTATTTATTTTATTATTTTTAAGTTATACGAGTAAAAGGTATAAATCAACATTCAACAAATATTTTAATTAAAATGACTTTAATACCTGATCGTAAACCATTAGAATGTAATACACGTGCTGTACCGAATTTAAATAGTTCAGCTATATTTAATGAAAAATTTACATTTGAAATAAATAATGATGATTTACATAAACGTTTATGTTTTTCAATATATAATTATCAACAAGAAAAAAATGATATGCAATTACAAGGTTGTTTATCATTTGGAATTAAAAATACATTAAAAAAACAACTGGTAAAAAGACAAATACAAAAAAAAAAAAAAAATTTTTTTTTTTTTTTTTTTCTATTATTTTAGATTCATGGTTGGTATTATATTTTACAAGAAGATGTTGGAGAATTACGTCATAAACACGTACCTGGTCATGGAGAAAAACATGTTACTTCAATTAATCGTGATATAGCAGATTTAGAAGAACATCAAGTAGGTTTATTTTTTTTTTGAATTGTTAGGAAAAGTATTTTCAATCTCGAAAGTAGTAAAGTAATGTTTGAAATGTGGAAAAAATTTTTATTCACTATCACCATTTGAAGATAATATTTAGGATTTCTTTTTCTTGTGTGTTGAAAAATCTTTGAATAAAAGCTTAATTCACAATATGACATTTTGTAGAGAAATGTTTACTCTTTTAAAAAACGAATATTACATGTTCGAAAATGAATAGAGTTAATAGGAAATAAATTTTTTTTGTGTAAAAATTTTCTGATCAACAATAATAAAAAACGATTTTTCTTTAGCTTATTATATCCCGTGGTATCAATGATTCATTTGGTTTTACAGTTGTTGGTGATAGTCCAACATTTGTTGGCAAAGTAACGGAAAATAGTCCAGCAGCTCGATGTGGTCTTAAACCAGGTGATTTTATTGTTAAAGTTAATGGACAAAATGTTTCACGTGGACATCAAAAACCTGTATCAAAATTAATTAAGTAAGAGAACTTTTTGTTTTATTAATAATTAATTTGATGTGTACACATATATATATTTGTTTAGACATTTAAAACATTCAGTTACATTAGATATTCATCGTTATCCAAATGGACCTCCAATACGAACAACAAATCGTGATATCCAATCATTATTATCATCAACAGGTACTGTATCAACAGAAGATTCATCAACAGGTAGTGATTCATCAATATCATATCCTTCTCATCATTTTAAACAAATATCATCATCATCAAATTCAAATCGAAACTTTGTTGATCTTGCACAATTAGGACATTATGTTGAACCAAAACCATTAATACGACAAGCAACAGGATCATCATCAACAGCGCAACCATTTTATGAAATGACAAATTCATCCATGTTAGCTGTTAAAGGTTCACCAACGAATACATTTGTTTAAAGAATTACAAAAAAATAAAACAAATTCGTTCGTTGCTTTAAAGACTTGTTTATGATAGTAAAGTTGAAGTTCGTGTTTTTTTTTTCGGTCTCCTTTGAATATAATGTATAGAAAATAATTCATTCTGTGCTCGTTTTTTGGTTTGTTTTTTTTGTAAGTTTATTTATTTGTTGTGCGTTATGTGAAATAGATTTTTTTGTTTTCGTTCATATTTGAAAATGAGAATATATTGCGAATTATATTAAATAAAAATTATGGATTTGAATTAATTATAATTCTTTGTATTGATAAATCTTTTTTATCAGTGATCATAATTACTGTCTATGAATCATCAATTATTTGAGAATTGAACCAAGTCTGTAAAATTGAGAATCAAGTATAATCGTAATGATTTGAAATAAAAAGAAAAATTTACTTTCGGCATGAATATTATAGGACACTTAAATTACCATATTGATCGTTACCTAATGAAGTTCTGATTTATTAGTGAAATTTATTGTAATTTTCCATTATTATGAATGATAGCCAGAAGAGTACATGCCATATCAGCGACGAACAATTCAGTGAAAAGATTATTTACTTCAGCTGGATTGACATTTACTCAAAGACGAACATGTTTATTACCAGGACAAACTCATGACATACTATTTATTCAGTCATACAAAATATTCAAAAAAAAAAAAGCGATAAACAGAAAACTTATTTCTTCTTGTTTTTCATCTGTTTATATTGATCACATTTTGAAACCCTGTATCTTTATGTTTGTTTTGTTCAATCTATGGATGTGAGTACTTCTTTTTTATTGCTTATTTCATTTGTACTAGAAAATATATGATAAGATTTATTATTATAATTATATTGTAAATGATTTTTTTGTATAAATAGTACGTTTTAGAGGTTTGATATTGTACCTAATATACAGACAAGTTTTTATCCATGTCAAAGATACATTAAAAAGATCGTTCTGCAGACCAGATATGCGCAGGAGCATCCATTATTCTAGAAGGACTAACTTTTTTTATGCCCTATTCTGCGTCCTTAAAAACATAATGACTGAGTAATAATGTTCTGCAGAATGCAGATAAAGATACAGAATACTATACCGTGGCGTTCTCTGATATAATGCCACTATTATGACATCAACATGATTAGACAACTTTAGAAAACGATCGAACTGAATATCTGATTCACATTCATTTATATCAAAACCTGTTTTCGATAACCTGAATAATTCCTGATGTTTCAGACGAAATAATTTTTCAACTAGAATTCGTCGATAACATGACATCTTCTATCATTACACTTGAGTTCTGCTTTTTAATTACAATTCTTACATCTTCCTCTCTTTTAGCTATTCAATTTATTAACAATAAAAACAACGAATATCCTTGTACTGACTCCAGAGAAAGTTCAATTCAAAACATTAATATGAACTGGTGAACGTTTTTTTTTATTACATACTTTATTCATATTGAATAAAGTATGCAGTCAAATTTTGAATAACAATGTTTATTATTATAAACTAGTAAGAAAAACGCGTCTCAGTTTAAGAATGGAAATCAAAGTTACATGAATCAAATCACTCTTATTATCGATCATGAACCCACGACTTAACATAGAAATCATCAGAATCATGAAGAAAAATTGGCGATTTATCGCGTTTTAGATCACAATTAATCGCAATCGTTTTAACGATTTCGAGCATATGGGAGACTTTCACTACTAATAAAATTCGAGAGCTCCAAAAAATTCAAGCAAAATTGTATTCTATTTGTAGACGTGAAGTCAATGCAATTTGTATTTGCTTTTTAAACATTTTTGATATTCTTGAAACAGTTTAAGACGTTTGCTTGATACCAAGTTTTTATAGAAAATTGCAAAGATTTTTATATAATTTTAGTTTTTGCATGAATCTACTTGGACAATGTTTCGAATTTTTAGTTTCTTTAGTATATTGTATTTACATAAAATAGTTAAATAAAGAACTTTTTATAAAATTTGAAAGATATGAAATTAATATATATTGTTTCAAACTTCATATTCAATTAATGTCAAAAAGATCATTTTAAATCTGAAATAAAAATTGTTTCACTTTTGCCATAACCAGATAAACCAATATGAATATCTTTACTATTAATTAATTTTTTATGAATAAGATTCATTCAGACTTTATTAAAATTCATACACTCGACTAAGTTCAAATAACACACACATAGACTTTATTGCGCTAATTTTTTTAAGTAAAAATATTTGCGTTACACTATCAAATAGTTTTGCCAACACGAATGTTTTTATGTTAATTACGATATTATGTTGCTAGATGTCAGGATCAAATCAAGAGGGAACAAACTGGTTTTTGATAATTTTTATCTATCACGGGAGACTCGTTCCTATTTGTTTACCATGAATCAATAGGAATCATCGGACATGCTTAGAAATACAGGAAAACATGAAAAGTTAAAAGCAACCACTAGAAATATTGACAATTAATGTAGGTCAAGAAAGTCATTAGAAATCAGAGATTTACTTTTATTTCTATTACTAAAGATTTTCTATGATTTACAGTCATTTTCATTGATTTCTAACATAGAAACCAGTTTGTTCTACTTCGGGTCGAAATTTCAAAATAAAATTATTTAAATTGAATACTGTAGTAACTCTAAAGATTGACACATAGGATCGTTTGACTGAGTACTCGTACCTCCCATGATAATTTGAAGAATTCGTTGTTTTTACTGGTTAAAAGTCAAAAAAAAAAACAAATGTGTAGTAAAGATTTTAGTCAGTTGTTGTGAAAAACAGAAAACCAAATAATAGTTTTCTTTCATAGACAAATTTTAGAGTGAAATCAGAAAAATTCTTTTCTGTTGTGCGAAATTAACGGATATACAATCGTAGTGAACTGAAGTAATTTTTCATGTTTAGACTTGTGAACGTATTCTCACTTTTGTCACGTTTTAAAAACTTTGATATTGCATATCTAGTATTTATGAACCGTTTTGCAAAACCGAATTCAGATATATTTCAAACGATATTGCTGGGTGGAGAACATGATTTTGATCAATCGATACTTACTGGCATGAATACCTTTAGTGTTAGAAGTATTAAGAAACTTGTTTAATTTATAATGGATATGAATATGATATTTATTCTGCGAAAATCGAAAGACCAAATCAAGTCTGTTTTCAAAGTATAAAATGTTCCTGAATTAAACAATGTTCTTGTAATATAAATAGATAAGAAAAAGAATATTACAAATTCTCCTGAGAAAAATAATGTCGATATATCTTCTAAATTTTGATTAACTTGAATTTATGCATCTTTCTTCTATAATTACAATTCTATGTGTTTCTATCTTTTCTGTTGATCTATTCGTCTGTTTTTTTTAATATTAATATTTATTGAACTGTATTTTATGCAGAAAAAAAAACAAACAAATAGAAATGTATGTATTGTTATTTTAATTACACACCGTCTCAGACAAAGAATTTTCTTTTTTTTTACTATCCTCTGTCTACCGAAAAGAAAAATTCAAGGTTCAGACTCTTCCTGTCGACAGATTATAATTTGTTATAAAAAGAAATGTCAAAAGACGTAAAGACTACACTTTTGTTGAAACAATGTCAATCTGAATATCTCACATGCAATGTTAAATAAGTACAATAATGAAGCATATCTTTGTTGCTATGTGATTAAATATGCCGCCACCATTATCTAATACACATCTTCGTACACCATTTGGCTTTGATGAATTACTAACATATTTAACACGTGAAATACTTCGATCACAACCAGAGAATATTTATGAATTTTGTTTAACTGCATGTCAACAATTGTATTCTTTTATTAGTTTCTTTTTTTTTTTTGGTTTAACCTTGTTTTTTATTTTTCTGTTTATATTAGGATTAATGAACGAAATAATGGCATTCTATCTGATGAATTAATTAAATTAGAATCTACTAGTTATTCTCCTGAGAATCAAGAAGAGAACCAAGAATAATAATATCAAATTGATCAAAGAACAAATTGAAGCATAAAAGCCTATTTTTTAGTATATATCTTCTGTTTCTATACTCCAAAAAAAAAAGAAAAGGACAATGTATTATTGACCGTTTATAAAGATATGCCTCATTAATTAATGCATTGAATAAATAACTATTTGATTGTTAGTTCACTAATGACATTTTTATTGTTTTCTTTTTTTAATCATTGATATCATTCAATTCTAAAGGTTATCAATAATCGACATTCATGAGTGATGAACTAAGACGATGATTAATCAAATTTTTATTACGAAACATTGATATTTAAATTCATATTATCAATCATATTATAAGATGAAGATAAGTATATAGAACATTCTTTCATAATTATAACAAAAGGATAAAAATATTTTCGAGAGGTTATGTTTTGGTTTATTAAATTTTTATTGGAGTATCTAATATCATGCGCAATGTGTTGGATATCTTTTCACAATAAAATAAGTACGATGATGAATAGGAAGAAAACAAAATGTGTTGGCGATAAATAAACAATGACAACAAAAGAATAGCACAACTGTTCCTCATATACAAAAAAAAACAAAAAAAAAAGGCAAAAAAGAAAACAAACAAAAGGAAAAAAAATGTACACTATACAAGTACTCAATAATAATACAATAAACAAATACATTTTTCGGCGGTATGAAAGGAAGAATGAGATATGTGCAAAAGACAGAAATGATAAATGTGCATATCACACGAATGAAAAGGTAGATGTGCGTTTGTTTTTTGTCAATAGAAATATCAAGAAAGAAAGAAAAAAAAAATCGAAGAAGGCCCCCTTATTTCATTAATTTGTCATAAATTTTTTTTTTTACAGCAGCACCAAATTCACAAAGCACTGTTTTGCAGTAGAAGGCAAAAGAAAATAAAGGACAATTATTATCATCATCCATATATACATACATATATATAGATAGATATATATATATATAAATATATACACGAAAAGAAACTCCA